TTTTACTTATTTTACTGGCTGAAACCTAGACATTTATGCATACCTAACTACAAGAAAGAATTTTTTAGTAAGAAAAGAAGAGAAATTGATGTAGGCAACTGTAAGTCTGCCACAGACTGCCACTCAATGCCATTTGTATTTATCTCAACCTAACATTTCTATCTTTATTTCCAATCTTGATTTTAAGCATTCTGTCACTCTGTGCTAGGTTAAAACTATTCTTTTTCTTTATTTCTACTTGATAGGGTAAATTTGAAGCAACTATAAAAAGAGGTCTCTAATTTCGGTGGATTAAGCAAGATGGAAGTGTATTTAAGGGACTTATGAATCCAGCGGGTCTAGGCTGACAAGAAGGCTATGTTTCTAGGGTCATTGAGAAACTCAGGATCCTCATTATCTCATCGTTGTACTCATCTGCCTAATCAAAGCCTATTCAACACCATATTTGTGTTCCAGTCTGCTGGAAAGGAAAAAAAGGATCTCATTCTAGGAGAACTGACCTGTCTTTAAGTTAGAGGTGACCTGAGATTTGCATATATTATATCTGCTCACAACCCTCTGGTTTGGCCATGTGGTCATACCCTGCTGCCAGAAAGACTGGGAAAGATCACTAGGTGGTGATCCTGTGACCAGGAAAACGCAGACATGAGTTTGAAAGGATGACTGCCTTTCTGTCATAGTCCAGTTCCTTTCTGTACGTCAAGCTACAGCTCAAGTGCCATTTCTGCAAAGAAGCTTTTTCTGAATCTTTAACCAAAAACAATAATGCTTGTAACTAATAGTGATCCAGTGCTGAGTGTATGCCAGGAACTCGACGATGTGTTCCAGCTTAATGCTTATCAGAATTCTACAAGCTTTTGTCTTCCTTTCCACAGATGGAAAATGATAGCTCACACAGATTAAATGATTAAGCAAAGATTGTAGCACTAGCCAGTGCTGGAATCATGATCTCTACTTCGGAGTGCCCCAGAGGATTTTATTTCCTTTTTTTTTTGTTTTTTCAGTGTGTCTCCATTATATTTAATCACTTGTGATATGTCTCACTTCCCTCCTAAATTGGGAGCTTCCTATGAGCAGGTCTGACTCCTCTCTTAGCCCTCATTGCATCTAGCAAATATCTTGTATGTGGGAGGCTTTCATTAAATGTTTACTGAACAAATGAATCATCAGCTTAAAAAAAATTTTGAATTACAGGTAATGTAAATAAAGAGTCACCCGGATTGGGTATCCCCACAGTCAGAAGACTTTAGTATATTCCCTTCATATGAAATTGGCATAATGACCTTTATTCACTACCTGTTTCATAGGACTGCAATTTCACACTTACAGTAGATTGCATTTTTCTTTGTGAAATCTTTTGATATTTTGAATAAATTGGAATGTGTAGCTAAGATATATTTTCCTTTCAAATGCCTGGATTTATTTTTTCAAGTTTCCTTTTGCTTCTTATGGATTGTTTATCATTAATGAAGCATTAATTTGTGTAACAACCTCTATTTGTGATGGACAATAAATAGTTAAAAGAACTATATTTCCCATTAAATATTTATTGACATGAGCTGTGGGAGACCAATTAATGTACTCAGTCTCTATACAGAAAGCTAAAAAGCATTAGCTTTCCATGTTTTTAATAATTCATCACAGGCCACAATCCATATTGAAAAATAATTGATAAAACTGAAATTATTTATAAAATATATTCTAAGCGTAGAAATTCAATTAGATATTATTTTCATCCTGAGGCTTTACCCTGCTTTAGAAATAAAATGATATAAATGCATTTTTCTCGGAGCCTATATAAAAGCTGAGATAAAATATCTAATTTCAGAAAAAATATTTTTAATTTGTATTTGAAACCCTTGGGTATTGTGTGTGTGTGTGTGTGTGTGTGTGTGTGTGTGTGTGTGTGTGAGTGTGTTTGGTATGTCTGAGGGGTTTCTGTGGTTGGTGGTGGGGAAATCTGCTTAAATGAGATGGTTTTAATTTGGATTTCCCTTTTAATGATGTTAATCATCATTTCATCTAGTTATTGGCCACTTGGATTTCTTTTGTCAATTACCTGTTTAAGCCTCTTTATATTTCTGTTGTTTTTGGAATTCTTTATATATTCTGGATATATTATGGATATGAGCCTTTTGTCAGTTCTATGTGTTGAAAAAATGGTCTGTTATTTGAAGTTTTGCCTTTTTATTCTCTTATGATGTCTTTAGATATATTTACAAGCAGAGACAATAATCAAAATACTCAGCTGTCAACACAGTGTGGAGACTGATAAATCAAAGTAGTGTTCATCTACTGAATATCAGGCCTATGTACAAGGATTTTTAAAAATTACAGCATCAGTTAGAGTGGCTAGAATTAAACTGGGAGTAATGAGATATGTCAGTTAATAAAGGAATTATTGTATTTGTGTACATCCATACTGCTGCATATTAGGGTTAGTTGAACTTGAATATCTGATAAGTTTAATGAAGAAAGCATGCTATAGTGTTGTATACCTGGTTGCATTTACTAAAACGAGTGTACACAGGTTGTTTTATGTTTGTGAGCATCAAGAAAGGTACACAAAATTTTGCACTGACCCATTAATCTGGACTGTTGCTGCTGGGTAGAATTGGAGGCAGTAGAGTCTGGAGGTACCCCTGAATGTATAGTCTGTTATAAACAGCACTGCTATGTTAATACTTTTTAAAAAACATCTAATTTCTAATGAAATTTATAAGAAATTAAATGGATAAAGAGTCCACTTTATCCTAATTCCCATGACACTCTGTACTGATGGGAGGATTAAAGTTGATTTGGACTCTTCATGCAGAGTAGGTCCATGTCGATCAAAGATGTATCACCTCTGATGACTATTGAGAGTTTTCAGCCAACTTTTACCATATCTGTCTAAGCAGATGTCTCCAAAAGGAGGAGTGAAATAGGGAACAGAAAGTCAGGAGTGAAGTTACTTCAGATGCCTGATTCTAGCAGACTGTGAGTTCTAACACCTCGGCTCTTCCGCTGTTCTACTATAAGCTCCACAATGGCAAGGTTGTGTGTTTCTTTCCCCACTGTATCCCAGTCCCAGGCTTAGTGCCTGATAACGTAGGAGTTAGTCAGTGAGTACTCACAGATCTAGTGACCGGATATGTGCAGTCACTTAGGGCGGCAGTTAAAGAGTTGGTCATTCCATTAGTTGTTCTTTACTGGAATATTTATGTTTGGCTCTAGTTTCTAGGGCACCATGCCATTATCTCTCCTTGTTCTGTGATTCTGTGGCATTGTGATTACTTTTTATATATATATGTCTTCCCAGTAGGACTGTGAGCTCCTCAGGGGCAAAATCTGATTTTTATTCATTTTTTTCCTATATCCCACACAGTAACTAATTCAGTAAATCTTGAATATAGTAAGTTGTTGAAAAAATGTGTTTTATTCTCTCAGATCATTCCTATGAATAGCATGACTCCAACAATTATTTGAACACATAAACAACTCATTGATTCTACTACCTGTTCATTATTCCCCCGATGTCACCTTGGATCCCATGCCCGTTTTTAAGCTCTGTGGTATGTCACTGTAATCACTTACTCATTTTCTTGCATATACCCTCAACTTGTTTTTCTCACTTCTCTTTGAAATACTTGTCTACTGTCTCTGTACTTTCCCTGCTGGATCCGTTCCATTCACAAGACTTTACCATATGTGTGCTAATTACTCAAAATGTATATCTTTCCCCTGAAATTGAAACTCACATCTAACTGCCGATTGTACATCTCCACTTGGATGGCCATGGCCATCTCAAACAGAACATGGCCAACTGAACTTACTCTTTATCCTCACCCCAAATCTGCTCCTGTAGCAACCTTCCCTATCTCGATAAATATCAGTTCCATCCTTTCAGTTACTTAGTTCAGTCATGGCTCCTTTTTTTTTTCCCCTCTAATGCCTAATTTCTAATTCATTAGGCAGTCTGGTTGGAGCTAATGTCAAAATATATCCATTATTCAAACCCGTCTCTTTAATTACATTGCTGTAATCCTGATCCAAGCCAAATGACCCTTCACCTAATTTTATGTGTGCTGTCTCCCTAGGTACCCCCTCCCCACCCTGACTCCAATTCTTAACACAGCATCGGAATGATCTTGTTAAAACTTCACTTGAGTTATGCCCCTCCTCTTATCAAAACCCTGTAATAGCTTCCCATCTCATCCAGAATCAGTCTGACTCCTTGTCACCTCTCTGACCTTACTACATACATCTTTCCTCTCCTGCCCACGTTACTTCAGCCACGTTTGGACTGATTCCACTTGCACGGAAGGAATAATGGTTTAGCTTAAATTGAACCAACACTAATACATGTGAGGAGATAAGTCAGTTTTCAACATAATTGAAGAAATGCTGGATTTTACTTGTGAATAAGGCCTATACCAACAAGACTTCTGGCAGCTACTTCAGAAACTTTTTTTTTCAGAGGCTACAAAGTTCTTTGATGTTATGAGAATTATGTTTCTCAATCCAAGAATATTAAAAGATCAATCTAGGAGGCATGTGAATATATATATGTATACACACACATTATTTTACTGATATGTTTGTGAGAAACATTCTTATTAAGGTAAAGTACTTTTTAAGAAAATAGGTGGACTTAGCCACTGGAAGTTGATTAATTAAAATTTGGAACTGATAGCTATAATTATTATTATTACTATTATTTTCGTTTAGGTCACCATTTTCAATCACAGAAGAATTCATCTTGAGATTCAACCAAACAAAAAATCCAAAAAAGGAGGAAGAATTGTTGGACATAGCTAGAAAACACATTGTCAGATGTAAGGTAATGGTATACTATTTAAAAAAATTTTTTTCTTTTGGTTTTACTATTATTTTTAGGAGGAGTTTATTAGGTATACTTATTTTTTTTAGTTTTTATTTTTTTTAGAGGAGGTACTGGGGATTGAACCCAGGACCTTGTTCACGCTAAGCATGTGCTCTGCCACTTAAGCTATACCCTCCCCCCGGTAATGGAATGCTGTTTGGTTACTTAGTATGTGAACTTTCTCTTGTAGTTGGATGATTACATGTTCTAAAATACTGAAAGAAAAAATAAGAATACTCCTTTCTTTAATTAAAAGTAGGCAGAGTTTAAAATACTAATGCAAATTAAAGTTAAAGCTTATAACCAAATAATCCAGTGTCAAATGGCTTTTTGAGTGAAGATTCTTCATATGGCTGTAGCCACTAGTCGAAGAGCCCACAGCAAAATATGCAAAGCTGGTACATAAATTTTTGATAATGAAAATTCTACTGTTTTCTAAATAAAAGTTAACTGATAGATCATGTGTCCCAAAGAGGAAAGAAAGCTCCCCTCAACGTTCACTCTAAATACACGGAGTAGTCTATTCTTTCTCGGTAACAAACTATTCACCTAAGTTGTTAAAAAAAAAAAATTTCTTTAAGAATATCTCATTAATTCCCAAATTTTCAAACACATGAAAACAGAAGAGGAAGTGAAATAAGTCCTTATTTTACTTTTTCTTCATTAGATCCAGTTTTGGCAGAGAAATAATATACATACGATTGTGTTTTAATAATAAACAGTCAATGAAATAACTGCACAAAACTGAAGCCTTAATTAAGCCTTAATTTTTGTTTGAACTTTTTCCCCAAAATTCGATATCTTGCTGAAGTACAATTGATTTACAATGTTGTGTTAGTTTCATGTATACAGCAAAGTGATTTAGTTATACATACATATATATATTATTTTCCAGATTCTTTTTCATTATAGGTTGTTATAAGATATTGAGTATATTTACCTGTGCTATACTGTAGGACCTGTTGTATATCTCTTTTATATGTGGTAGTGTGTATATGTTAATCCCAAACTTCTAATGTATCCTTTCCCCTTTTATTAACCATAGTTTGTTTTCTGTGTCTGTGAGTCTATTTCTGGTTTGTAAATAAGTTCACTTGTATGATTTTTTTTTTTAGATTCCATATATAAGTGATATCATGATATCTGTCTTTCTGTGTCTGACTTTCTTCACATAATATGGTAATCTCTAGGTCCATCTATGTTGCTGCACATGGAAGCCATCCTGTTAAAAGTGTGGTTGTTACTTCCTAGTTACTTGGTTTATGGTTGCCCATATAAAAAGCTTTTTTTTTAATCCATGAAAAAGTTGATTAGAAAAAAGAATACACTTTATGTATGCAGATAGTTGCCAGCAGGTACATTTATCCTTGAGCTTCTCTTCACTGGGCCGACTGCTCCCTGGGGCAGCCCCAGGAGTGGGTCCGTTAAGGTGAGGCGGGGACGGTCTTTCTCTCTTCTGTTCATTAAATTCAGTCCATCCACGGTGAAGTAGCTGGAGTTTCCAGCAAACTGGCATCAAGCTAATTTCTGTTAAATCACATTTCTTCAATAAACTTTTCCTTCTGAAATCAGAGATTCATTCTTGTGTTGGCAAATGAAATAGAAGTAGTCCCTAGAAAGTGAAGAGTGAGAATTATTTTCAGCAAATGACTAATGATACTACTGAAAATATTAACATTCTCTACGTTTTAACGCTAATACAGTTTACATAAAATGTCAGAAAATAGAAATAATAAAAGCCAAACTGTAAAGCTTAAAGAGCATCAGTGTGATAAAATGACTTTGGCATTCTCTCTTAATTATATTTTCAATGAATCAATAATAAAAATAAATGGTAAGAATTGATAAGTAAAATATAAATAATAAAAATAAACATATATTAAATTTTAAAAGGTGTATATTTTGTTTACCTCCTTTATGCTTCCCTGTAACAGAGGAAATTGGGTCTCAAAACCTTAGGCACTGGGAGGCATGTGCATCTTCCTACCGCATGGACTGAAGTAGTATATCTGGCTCAGTGCAAAGGAGAAATCCAAGATGGTATGTGCTCTAAACTCATCTTAGTTCCCCTAAGTGTTTTCTAAATTAGCAGTGAACGCATAATTTGAGAGCTTCAATATTTAAAAATTGTGCAGGAGCCAAGGAAAATTTGCCTTTCTCTATTGAAATATCTGATAGTGTTTCATTATGAAAGTTCCTTTTGTAGTTTTGAATTTATGAATTTGACTGCTCAACTTTTTAATTACAAAATTGTTTTAAAAAGAATGGCTCAGCAGAGTCTTTATTCCTTTTTCTAAAATTAGTAACTAATTAAAAAGGAATATAAAATGTCATTTAGTGATTTTCAATTACAAAAGGCACTATACTTTAGAAAAACTTGTTTCCTCATTTTATAATTCTTTCTCGTAAAACATTAACCAAATGGCCATTTGTTTTTCACTTATTTTAAACAGCCATTTTACTCGTTACCTTTTCATTTATCACTTCTCATTCCTGTGTCTCCTTTCAAACCACCCTTCAACCAATCTCAAAAAGAAATTAAAACACATTACTTTTAAAGAAGTAAATTCCTTCTATCATTATCCCAAATTTTATGGGAATGCCTGTTGAAGTGAGTTTTAGAATATTAACCATATGAGGTCAGAGAGTATTTCTCCGTATAAGTTGGCTTTTGTAGTGCAGTCTGGGAGCTTTCAAGCAACAGGACAGATAGGGATGACTTTGCATTTAACTTGGCTTTATGGCACTTCTTCACAGTGCTGTCCCCAGCCTGACCCAATGAAATGTTTACGTGATACTGATGTAAACCATCTTGGCTTACCAGCAGCGTGCAGCCACTTGCTCTTCTTTGTCAAGTAAATCTCAGTTGTTCATAGCAGCTCCTGGAACTCTTTGTACACTCACACCTTGGAGGTATTGTGGGTTTGGTTCCAGACCATCCTTAATAAAGCAAATACTGCAGTAAAGCGAGTCACATGAATTTTTTTGTTTCTCAGTACATATAAAAGTTACGTTTAAACTGAAGTACCCAGGATCTACCAGGAGTAACTGGTAACAACAGCTTTCATAGTGCTTAGTTCATTTCAGAAACTATGTGAATGATTACTGAATGAATAATGTGTTGCTCTATGTGTATATATTTATATACACTTACCAGTATTATCGTGAAATGTAACTATTAAATAAAATACTGAATCAAAAAAGTTGTTTACACTATACTGTAGTCTATCAAGTGTGCAAATAGCATTATATCTAAAATACGCACAGACCTGAGTTAAAAAAAATAATGCTGTTGGAAAAATGGCACTTATAGACTTACTAACGCAGAGTTGCCACAAACTTTCAATTTGAAAAAAAAAATGCAATTATCTGCAAAGCACAATAAATCCAAGTGCAATAAAACAAGGAATGCCTGTAATGACTTGAGGTACAAGTTTCTCCAGGACCTTAGCTCTATATTCTTCTTGTGCAGCTCCATTGGCCCCTATTTCCTCTGCCTTGATTTTCTAGCCTTCCACTCTACTCTTTTATAGCGCTTACCTTGAGCACTGTCTTCTGTCATCCATTTCTGTTCCATTTCCCCACCACTGTATATGTGGCCTGGTGATCTACTTTGTGTTGGCCAGAACAGCTGGAGCTCCTCAGGCATTCCTCTCTCTCCTGCCCCATCTCCCCCAACTCTGTATTCTCTCCAGCTTAGTGACTTCTGCGTAGTTGAACTTCCTACCTGGCAGTTTAGAATTCCAAAGCTAGCTAGTATCCTGACGAAGAGATTGAGGGGGCAGCTGTACTGTCTTTTTTGGAAGTCATGCAGTGTCCCTTCTCCCACATTCTCGTGATTGAAGCAGTCACAGGGTCTGCTCAGGTTCAAGGGGAAGTGGGTATAGACTTCACCTTTTGATGGGAGGGATGTCAAAGAGTTTGTGAATATTCTAAACCATAATGTGGTCTTGGTGACTGAGTAAATAATTATGAGACTTAATTGTAGTATGTAGTAAACAGCATGATTTACAAATTACGGGATTTCTACTTTTTAATATTTCAGAAGCTTTAAATATGCTTTATGCTTCCCTGGACCATGCTTCCTTTGATTACGATCATCTGCCTGCCTTATTTTTTGTTGCGGAATCAGTTTTATATAGACTCTGTTGTGATGCATTCCGAAGGACATACTTATACTCAGTTGAAATAAAGCTAGCAAAGGTAGGTTTTAAAGTATCTTTAATGTGTTTTAATTATTACATATATTACATCTAGCCACATGACATCTGTTTTAGTATCTAAGTAGGCCATTGGTTTTATTATGGAATATTCTCTTGTTTGGTAGTTTATTTTAATCTCCTCTAAGTGTGGATACTACGTAATTGCTTGATATCCAAATGGAGATAGTTTGATTAAAATATAATTTCACCAACTATGTAAGAAAATAACATTAAATTAAAAATCAAGTTTATGCTTGCTTCTGGGTATATATAGCTTTTCTCCTCTCTATTTTAAGTATTTCTAAATGCCACTTTTCCATTTAAAAATGACTTCCAAGGTTAGATCGGAAATGCTGACTGATACTCTTAAATTGTTGCCTGATTTGAGAAGATGAGTTCTTCTCTCAGTATTCTATGTCATTTCAGAGCTGTAAGGTGGGAAACCATCTTCACATAGCTCATATTCATGAGATCCTGGAAATTATATAGTTCCACTCCCTGTGATGATCATGGTTGCCTGCTGCAAAATTTATTATTAGTCAAAGAAAGTCAGCTTAACTAGTGGTTTTATTGGAAAGAAAAGCAAAGCTAGAAGAAGGGTTTCTTTAAGAATATATACACACACACACACTCACATATATAGTGTATTTGCAAAAATTTTTTTTCTGATTTAATTTTGATTATGAACTGTTGTAAAACAGGCAGGAAAATATTCATGAGCCAGGGCATTTTGGGAAGATACTGTATTTCTGACCTTATAGATCAAGTCTAGTTCCTTCCTGACATGTTTGCTGGTAAAAGATACAGAAAGCATGTAACGGAACTTGAACATGCACAGAACTGAGGCTTTGCATAGAAGCACTGAGGGCAGAGACAGGTACGATTAAAATGTCTTTTCCATCTTTCTTCTTTCTTTATTTCCCACACTTCATTATGGAGACGTAGAAAAGATTATATAATTATTTTTGGATTTTAAAAGATATATATGTGTGTGTATATATAATACATGAAAATACATGTATCTATGTATATGTCTTTTATAATGGAAAAACAATGGAGTAGAAGAGCATAGAACATGAGCAAGTCTGGCTTTTTTCTCCTTTTCAACTCCTTTGGTGACCTTCTCCCATTTCTCACCTTTATATTTCTATTAGCAATAAAAATGGCTATAAAATAAAGTTTTAGCCGTTGCACACATTGCTTATAATGTATATACCCCATGCCTATATTTAAAAAAAATTCCTATATCTTCTCCTCTGGAACTTTAGACTATTTGCACAGACTCTTCTAGCAGCTGTAAACATTTGGCACTTGACTATGTGCCTTGCACAATAACGAGTGCTTTAGATGTGTTAGACATATCAACCTATTTCATCTTCACAATAATCCTAAAAGGCAGATGCTGCTATTTTATCTACCATTCTACAAACAGGCCTAGAGAGTTTAAGTGAATTATCCAAGGTCTCAACAGAGAAAACTTTGAAACCCAGAGTCAGTGGACTCTCAGCCATGATTCCACACATTTACCTCGGTTTTCAGATTTCCTAACTTTAATGCTTGCTTTTTATTGTTCTAGACAATATAAATTAGCTAGTGGAAATAGGCATGCTTTGTAAGTACCTTTGATTTTAGGCAAGAAGCCATTTCAGTTATCCTTCTTGCCTTTGTAGAATTTTCATTTTTTATCTGACAGTCAGTTGGAAATGTCCTTTTCTTTTCTTGTTTTTGGCAGAATGCTGTATTGAAGGCTGTTGCCACAGAGGCATTACCCGCCTTAATATGCACCATTTTGTTCCTCCTTTGACAAAGTATATAGCTCGGGGCTGGGAAGAGCCAGAAATGTCTGATTCTTTATATTATGTACTTTCAGATTTTGTGTGCCTTCTTTCCTCATTATTTACCTCTGAGCATAGAATCTTAACTGTTGAAGGCTACTCACTGATGTATAAGATTAACGTATAAGCAACAGTAGTTTGATACATTTTAGATAGAAATACAAGCTGTGTTCTTAAAGCTTCTGTAGAAGAACATGAAACACATAACCAACTATTAAAATGTAACACATACTAAATATTATTCAGCATTTCTATTACACAGTTAGATAACTGACTTGGAGAAATAAAGAGAAGAAGTGCAAAGAGAAGGGAAAGAAGAGAGAATAAAGAATAAGGAAGAAGAAAATGAATGAGCAGAGAAAGAAACTGACAAGCAGAAATTCAGTCTAGGAGGCAAAGCTTAAGTTGTCAGGCTACAGAGAGAGTATATACACAAATAAGACATGAGGAAAGATGCATAGAAAGTCCCAGAATTCCTCAGATATGGGATGACAGGTTTTTCAGTAAAAACCTGGCTTTGCAGAACATTACAGATGAAAGCTTCTAAAACCATTTTTTCCAACCATAGTTATAGAGTTTCACGTCTGGATCAGGTGAAACTTATAACCATATTGGGGTCTGATGCAGCAGTTACTCAAACTGATATGTTGTTCATGTATTATTCTGTTGTGTTCCACATTAAATTTTTAAACATTACTTAATACTGCTTTCAATATCCTTCTCCGGTCCCTTGCAAAATCTTAAATTCTTCTGATGAATTTCTCATTCATTGTCTATAACAGTGGATATTTCTGACTTTAATATTCTCTTTTAGACTATTGCAGTATTCTCTTAAATGGTCTGTTGCTCTCCATTTCCTTCTCATTTAGCTTGAGTCTCTTGGAGAAGCATAGCACTGTGTCAGAGACGTCTGCATGAAGAGATCCCTTGGCATGACATAAACATTTTATTTTCATTTTTAAGTCCATGAATGGTGCATGCTTATAATTTATGGATACATTTACGAATATTGATGGTGTATTTTCAGAATTTATTTTAATGATAGAAATTTGTGATAAAAATATTGGGAAATCACTGCCATAATAGAAAGTTTAGGACTTATGATGCAATATGCACAATCCTGGGTTCAAAGTCCAGGAATGCCAATTATTTGCTTAATAGTCTTGGGTAAGGCACTAAGACTTGGCAGAATTGTATTATTTATTTATTAACTTTTTTACATGTAGATGTAATAATGCCCTGCATCATTTTTAAGAGGATTTAGATATATGTATATCCTGATAGTGGATGTAGTAATAGTTTTTGTTGTTATATGGCCCTTTTCCATAATCTTATGATTCAGCAATTTAGGCATATGTTCCATTTATTTCTATAGTTTGTGTTTTTTCTCATTTTCTGTGAAATCTTACATATCATTTATTTTTGCAGGTATTTCATTTTTTGTAGTCTGTATAAAACAGTTTTAGCTATACATGTATTTTAAACTTCAGAAGTAAAATATTAAAGTGTGTATTTAGTAATGACGTCTATGTATGTGTTTGTGTTTTCCTGAGGAGATCAGGGTATTAGTACAGCATACTATGCACAGACAGAATATTTCACAAAACTAAAGCAATGTTTTCAAACTGTTTTGACTGAGACCTATTGAAGGAAATAATGTTTTGTATTGCAACCCAGCACACATAATACACATTCATTTGTATACTGAAACAAGAAACTGTGATGTACTATAATATTTTCTCTTTTGTTTTACTTAAAAACTGCCTCTCAGTTGATTTCATGACTCACTTAAGGGGCATGACTTGCAATTTGAAAAATATTATTCTAAAGGACATAGAAGAAAATAGCATTCAGTTTTGGTCATTATATATAATGTAGAGATGATTTATGACTTTTTTTTTTGCTGAACCAGTATTTCAGCCTAGGTATAAGTGTGTTACAGTTATTTCAAAGGCACATAATCTCAAGTGAATTTGAAATGGTCTCATCAAAACCAAATGTAATAATAAAATGGTTTATTTTCCGTATGGTTTTTAAACATTTATTGATACAACATAAAAATGCTTTTCTCTTTCTCTCTTGACAGATTGGCTATTTGGTCTTCTTACGAATTTTTATATATTTCCTTTATGGTCACCTGGGAAGTTTTAAACAACATTTACTTAGGTTTCAACCATATTTATACGGTAGACTATCTTTTATTTTCTATACTTAGAAATGTTTTATGTTATATTTTGAGAAGCTCAGACTCTCATGATACAGAGCATAAGCTGTATTTTATTTTTCTTGTAAGATAATAGGTGCAGTGTTGAAGAGCACAGGTTCGGGGCCAGACTGCATGGGTTTTACTTTTAAATTTCCTACTTAACTAAACGTATGACCTTGTCCATGTCTCAGTTTTCTCATTTGTAATACAATTGACCCCAATGGATTTCAAGAAAGTCAAAAATCATATGGTAGTAAGGTTAACACTGGTGGCAATGGAGAAGCTGCACTGCAGTAAGGAGAGAGTGGACCAAGGGGTCAATTAGCTATGACATAGACAAGAGAAGTTAAGGATATGAATACTGAAATGAAAATGGATAAAGAGTTTTGAAAAATGTTTAGGAGATTAAAAAAAAACCAAAACACTGGACCTGGTGATCAGTTGGACCTAAGCTATATATAAGGGTAAGTGAGAAATTCAGGAGGAATCTTAAGTTCTACATACTGACTACTAAGGTCAAGATAATGGTGCTCTAAATTGACAACATTTTGGAGAAACATGGGGACATAGTGAATTTTGAAGTTGACTCAGGTGTATATAACCAGCCAGTGGTTGGAAGTAGGAAAATAAGGGAAGCCTGGGGCTCACTTACCACATGGTGGTTAACATGGATGGTTTGCCAGTCACCCACCCGTGTTACCGTGCATGAGCTAACCTGGGAATGAGAGGTGGTGGTGAGGAGAGATTTATTCTAGGGGTAGATTCTTGAGGAACATAAACATTTAATAGATTATTGGAGTGATAGGCATCAATCAGTAAAGGAGGATTAAGGGAAATAGGAGGGGATGATATAGAAATTCAAACGGGAGAAGGAGATCTGAAAGTGGTGGTGGGTTTCTGTAGTCAGAAAGTCACTGTTCTTGGGAGCATTCCCCAGGGAAGCACAGTTCAGATTGAAGATAAAGAATAAAGAAAACATTTAGGCTTAAGATAGAGATGGTGAACTATTTTAAAAAAGCTTAGCTATGAAAGGAAGGAGAAATAATGTCAATTGGATGAAAAAACAAGGTCAAAAGAAGAGAAGATTAATATGTTGTGGAGTAAGAGATGAAGAGACTCACGATACAAGAAAGGGGATAATATTTGATGGGAAAAGTCAGGGAGGAGGCTGTAGAAGGAAAGAGTGGAGTGTTTTGGATAAAAGTTTTGTTACGAAACCAAGACGAAGCTGTAGATTGGCAGAATAGGAACTTCTGTCTATTATATCACTTGTTTTGATTTCATCATTGTTAGAAATTTTGTTTAACTCCTCACAATGTTCAGCATAGTGATTCATCAAATATTCAGTGGCAAATAAATTTTGCAAAATTATTTAAATAAAACCTCAAGTTCTCACATTAGCTTGTTATTGTTGAGATCTCAAGAACACCAACTTCTTTGTTTTATATAAGGATAAAATCCTCAGATTTTGCCATCTTTTCAAGTACTGTTAAGTAGAGCCTTCGTTAGGCTACATCTCCGTCAACAGGCTGATCCTACCTGAGGCTGTCAGCTACTGCTACCTATCAGTACAGCCATCCAGTAGGAGAGTGGTTATTATTAATCTTTCCACTATGTCAATGGCCTGAAACCCAAAGATTGTTTAAAAGTTTGTAAAAAAACAACAGCACAAAAATAGTTCTGTTAAATATGAGATAGTCTTATGTTGAATGATGTTAATTATTGCTATGGTTAAACTATATACGTTTAAAAATGATCAACAACATCTTGAAAAGAAACGAGAATGTTGGGTTAAAAACAATGACACTGATCACAATTTCACAGTATCTGTTATAAATAGAGTAATATATTCTAACTTAACTTATTTTCAACTGGAAGTTTCCAAGGATTGTTGTGCAGTGACTATTTAATTGGGCATTCAACCATTATGCAATTGCTGTTCTGAATTATATAAATGCTTATGTATGAATTATTTACCTTGTAGTTTTCCATTTTACCACCAGGGGTCACACATAACATTATTAATCTTCAGTAGAAAGGAACACGCACAGCAGTTTCAGCCTCTAAGTACTGAATTTAATTATATTTTAATAACTAAAAGACAAATGAAACACAATGCAAATATTAATGAGATATTTCTCACAAATTGTTTTTTCTTACAACAGCACTTTGTTTCTCTGGAGAATTATATTCCAAGTATCCAAACATCTTTTCAAATGTGCAATGCATTCTGAATATCATGAAAATTATATGTAGAAGAGAACTCCCTTCTGAATTAATTTTTAGCCCTGTGGAAAATAAGGACAAATCTAAGAACATAGATTCTGAGATGGTGAGTATATCCTAGTGTATGATGAATCAGATTATTATGATTAATCATGCTTGCTGATTCAGTAATATTGATGAAGATGCACTTACAATGCGGGAGGAGTGAACAGCACAGACACTATAAAGTCATGCAGCCTTATGCACCTTTCCTGGACAGTAGATAGTAAGATCATATTGATGCCCAACTGCTACTGCCATAGTACCTTCTTCCTTACAGATTCTGTCTCAGCTGGTTAATTGAAAATTGCAATACAATTTAGACTGACTTCTAAATGGACATTTAATGATACTACTTCTTTATTAAAGGAAGAATGTGTAAAGTGCAGGCTATTAATGAGAGCAAGTGTAATATTTTTATGCTTCCATAATTCATATGTAATAATATTTAATATATTATTAAAATCAACTGATTTTTTAAAATGGTTCCAAATTGAGGCATTAAATGAATCCCTAGTATATGAAAAATCTCCTCTTAATTTCTAACTCAGATATTGGTGATCAACATTGGAGAAAACTAGCTGTCCAATTATATAATTAAAAAGGATGTTATTTTAAAGCTTAAAAAATGTTTTATCAGTAAATATACACCCTAAGATATTGAGCAACAAAAAAAGTACTGACTACAAAGAGGAAAAACCTGCTCACCAAGTGACTGTGTGATTCAGAGGAGGTCCATTAAGCTCTGCAAATCCCCATTTACACTTAACTTTTAAAAAAGACATCACCACCACCACCATAATCATCATCATATTCTCCCTGACTAATCTACAGGGTTGTTGTGGAGATTGTAAAAACATGTACCTTGTAAATTATTAAAGAGCCATGCAAACACAAATAGTGATTATTGAAAAATATACTTAGGAACTCACTTTAGCTTAGGCAGTTAAATACAACAATTTTCATCTAAGGATATGACTATGCTGACTAATTGTGCTTAACTATGTAGTTAATTGCGCCTAACTTAATGTACTGATGATTTGAGTGTTTCTTTTAAACAAGTGAGATACTCTGAAATCTTGGCAACATGACTGTTAGGTTGTGAGGCAGGCAGTCTTTGATGTTGATTCTGCTGCTCCTTAAGAGTCAGTCTGTTTTTGTTGCTCTTGCTGCACGTCCACGGCAAGGAAATGGAAGGCTACTGCCGTCCAGCTTGGTCTGAACCAGAAGGGGTGAAAATGTCAACACATGAAAAGAATGTGTCTGCTTAGAATGCTATGTCACTAATTCTTTGTGCTTTTTCCACCTTTTAGAACAAAGGGCACAGTTTGAATCTTTTCTGTTTAGCTCTATACTAGAGATTCTGTGAAGGGATTATAACAGGTTTTAGCCTATCAGATTTATTGCCCTCCTTTTTCTCCTCCCATTACCTTATAATACAGAGAATATAAAAGATAGTGTAGCCACAGTGCTCCTCGAAATTGCTGGTTCAGCTAACTGATTCAGGGCTTGATGGCATAGTTCAACCAGTTTCAGCCAGTTTTTCCAGTATGGCTTAATCTTAAGCCAGCTTCCCCAGTTCAGTAGAGTATTTGCCCATTCAATACCCATCTCTCTTAATTTCTGGAAGAAGAAAGGAGAAAAAAGGAAGGAAACTGGGGATATAAAAGATGCATCTGTATTTATCCTCTCTCCCTACTTTACTATTAGTATGCTATAGCAGAGGATTTGTGGCTTTATTCCTACAGCTCTTATTCTCCAGTAATGCTAGAATGTCCATAATAGCATATTTTGACCACTGTAAAATATTTTGAATACATTTATAAGCACTGGAGTAAAAACGTAATTATTTGTTTTCAAAGTACTGCTTTAAAATGGTTGAAAATAAAATAAAAGGAATTCTGTAGGATATAGACATTAGGATACACACGATATGGGTGTTGTTTCTTTATAAGAATAGGAAATTGCCTTTCCCTGCTGCTGGAACCCATTTCTCCTTTTAATGTCCTTTCAAGCTGAACTGGACACAGGGTTTCCATTGACTTTGACAAATGATACACTTGAATTGGCTTTGTGGATTGCAGAGCCAGGACATTGGATTGAGTTTTCCATTCTTCCTTTGCTCAGCTGAATTTGCTAAGCACAGTTGTCACACGATAAGAACAACATAGTTCTTTGGAGAAGGTGGAGTCAAACTCAACTGAAATGCTGTAGACCATTTACTAAATAGTTGCATTCACCCTAAAGTACAAATAGTTTTCTGAAAATTGGGAAACATAGACAGTTTACATTCAGATGTATTAGCAATCTTATCCTCTAGTGAGTTAAGTACTCAGTAAGCCAAAGGCATTATCAAAATTTGGATCTTTTTTTTTTTTTGCTGTACTGTTATTGTAAATGGTTACTAGGAATTGGGTTGGACTGAGACACAAGTTCTTTGAAATTAGCAGCATTACGCTATGATTCATGTCTTGTTATTCAGGTAACACATTTGTATTGAGAGGTCCTTTCATGGCAATGCCAACCATCCCCAAATGGTTGAAAACAAGCTTGAAACTCAAAAAGCTGTCTTCGAGCAGCCATAATAGAGCACGTGCTTTAGAGTTTTGTTTTTGTTTTTAATAAAAAAGAGCCTGGCCAGATGCTTAGAGCTTTTGTACTTAAATTTGCACAAAATTCAAGCTGATACGGTTATTGAATTCTCAGCCAAGAGCAGATTAGCAACACTTCAGTAGGTGGGCTGTCCATCTTGGAATCTCTGCTCTGCCCACCATCCCTGACAGTGAGAACCAGTTCCAAGGACTTAGCCTTGAGAAAGTTATGTGTTGCTGAGACCATCTGGGTGGTAAATGTGACTGAACCCAGATAAAGACTCTACATAAACTTTAAGATTCTGGCGGGCAGGTGTGGAGATCTACTCTTGCTGCTGCCCAAGACAAGGCTCCTATGTAAGTTTCCATGCTTATTAAACCTGCCACCTGCCAATCAGGAGTGGTCTGCCTCTTCCTCAGGTCTCCCCTTGCCGTCTATGTACGGGGTCCAGCAAGTAGGGGAGGTGAAAGAACTATAGGAAGTGGTCATAAAACCAAAAAAAAAAAAAAGGACGGAAGAGGAGACAAAGTTCTAGTTCTCTGGGAGTCATTTAATGCAGTGCTTAGTATTTTTCAAACTATCTGTGTATCTGTGTAGAGGGTAAAAGATCCCCCTACACTTAAAAACAAAACAAAACAAAACTCCAAAGCATCCCAAACTGGTAACTTTTTTTTTAAATGGAGGGACTGGGGATTGAACTCAGGACCTCATGCATGCTAAACACGCACTCTATCACTGAGCTATACCCTCCCCTCTACAGACTGATAACTTTTTAAAACTACAATAATAATGAACTAGTAAAAATAAAGACATAAATATGTAAGCACAATTTTTGTCATTAGCCTGAAAACAAAAATAACTGTCAAATTTTATAAATTTTCTAAGTATATATTATTTTTGTACTATAGTTAAGAGTTTACAGATGAGTGGGACTGATTTAGTGTAAAGGCAGAGAACTCTACACCACCCAAGATCTCTCAGAGCGTTGTTCCCTGTTGGTCTACTACACTGATGAGGTACATGATGGTGGCATTAAATCACATTATCATCACCATTCTATTAATTCATTCTAGTTTGGCAAATATATTTTTTTCTTTTGCAAAAATAAAAAAGCAGTCAAGAAACTTTGGCAAGATTTCCAGGCAAATGCTTGAGATACTTAAGGGTGAGACATAAGCCTCACTTACCTGGAAAATTCCCAGGTGTGTCAGGTTCATGTGCTCTTAAGGATGCTGGTGCCCTTTGGGAGCACATGCGCAGTTGGGCAAATTGGTTTTATTTGTGGTAGAGAGAAAGCACACATTCCAGGAAGTCTGTAATTTCACAGTCAGAGGGTGCTAGAATTAATCTTTATAGGAGTTGGACTTAGGTTGAGTGATTTGGGGGAGGCTTTAAAGAAGCAGGGGTTCTCTCTAGATTTGATGCTGTCAAAGAAGGGGCATTTCTGATTGAGATTTTATAGGTGGCTCAGTGACTTTTTGTCTGTGCTTACGAAAAAATCAAGTGGCTTTATTTATTTATCACAAGCTCAGGGTAGTATTGCCTGAGGTTGACATTGTGTGAGTTTATACCCAACAGGAGAACAAAATGACCTGGCTGTAAGCGCCTGACCAGTTTGTAATAATGTTGATATCAAATCAGTTTGGGAAATCAGAGGCTGCTATATTTCTTTTTCAATGATAAGTAAAAATAGTATCATATAAAACTGGAAAGAAAACTTATATCTTGTTCATTATCTAAATCCTGATGTTTCTTCGCCAAATGCTTTTGGGAGTTTTCTCTGGTGAAGGTGCATCAGTTTGTTAATGACAATTTTTGACCTAACGAAATAGTCTATGTAGTCATGCAATGTACATGATTGGAAGGAAAAAAGAAGTGCTGATTGTCTTAAATTAGTTAGTCAAGGCATCCACAGGTTTCCAAACATATCTACGTATATATGTATTCAGAATGTTTGCACCAGGAGGGATGTCAGGCATCCAGGCTGAGGCTTCTAGAGCAATTTGAGAAAATAATTTCATTTATATGGGTTCTATTTTGGATGGAGACTCTACCACAAAGCAGAAAATAGAGTTATTCGGATGAAATATGTGCATCTACTGAAGTCTGCATGTCTCATTCTGATGTCTTACATTATTTTCAAATAAAGCTTTTCTGTGCAGTATTCTAACATTCCAAACACTGACTCATTTCCATTTGCCTTTCTGGAGATTGTTCCCCTAAGTCAGTAGCCTTGTGTAGAAACTTTATCTACTCCTGCCTTTATTTCCAGCATCTGAGTTCCTGACATAAGGTAGATGAATACACATCTGTGGGACTTAACAGTTTACTAGAAATTAAAATGTCTTAGTTTCAAATTTATGAGCTTGTGGCCTTCTAAAAGTACGCAACATGAAAATCTTGTTTAAATTGTAGTCTTGATGTAATTTTGTATAAAAAATGAAAATTATGGAGTCCTTTGGAATCTCTTTAAGTATTTCTTTTGAGCATAAAAGAATAAAATATCAGCTAAGTTAGTAATTTGAGTATACATCATAGGATGTGCATTTGAAGTTTTACGGTTGACTAAAATGCAATGCTAGTGCTATGTTATCATTGTCTAAAAATCAAGTTTCTTTGTACAAATTTTTTTAGTAGACCAATTAAATCTATGCAACTATTAGGAAGCATTCTAAGGAAAAAACAGATAAATAGCCCATTTGTTTTCTGAATTGTTAGGGTTTTAGAATAGTTACTGAGCAGACATTGATCATGTCCAGCTAGGCAATATTTTGGTCCTTAAGTGAAAATCCACATTTTAAAACCTAATTTGCTGTTTGATCATTAGTCAGACTCTCCCCATCCTCTCCCCTGGGTGTCAGGGAGAACTAAGTCATATAGGTTTTAAGAAGCACAGTTGTATGTAGTAGTTGTCCCATAGAGGATACAGAATTTTTCCTGCTGTAGAACTAATGTCATTGAATACAAGGCATCCATGTGACAATATATGAAGACACTAGGTTCAGGTTAACTATGTATACTTACAGAAATGTATTTGAGTAAATCACTCCACTTGGCATAACATGAAGTAGAAGAAAATACACATTTAAAATGTATTCTTATATTTATTCAAGTCAAGGAACTCTTTCTCAGATATATTTTAATATTTGAATTCCAGGAACATTTGCAACTTAATCAGAAACAGTATGAAATTAACCACCTGCTCTGGCACTGTGTTGCTGCCTGGTCTTGTGTTCAGAAGAATAGTCCTCAGTTGAATAAGGTGCTTGAACATCTCATCTTTCATAAAACACAGCTTCAAAAAAAATGCTGGTAAGAGGGATCCTATAAATCCAAAATAACTCCTGGAGAAACCTTTGTGTTTAAATGTTAAATAACCTTTGTACTTAAATGTTAATCACACCTTAGTTGACTATGAAAAAAATTTATAATCTCAGTTCCAAAGGCAAGGGCAATTTATATATTTTGTATTAGTTCATTTCATCAATAAATTGTTCTTATCTTTTTTTTTTTTGACTAGAGGAGCATATTGCAGTGATTGTCTCTATTAAAGGAAATTTGTAACTGATAAGAAGTTCATTCCTACATTTAAAACATCCTTTTGTTTTCCAAGTTGTTAAACACCACTGAAGTACAGTTTATTATCCTTGGAGGAAATATGCTAAGATGCTCTTTCTTTATGCCTTACTTGTAAAGTATAACAAAAATGAATCTTGACTGATAAGTGTTACTTTCCTCCTGTACATACATTAATTTGAAAAGGGGAAAAAGAAATCTTTAACTACTACAAAGGAGGGCATGGGTTCAATGGAGGAAAAAAGAGTTTTAAAGGAGTATTTCTGAGGAAGTATTTCTGATTGATCGGAAGGTATTTCTTTCCAATCTTTGAGGACAGTCAGAGATTTGAATTCCTTTTCCACTAACAATAATAATAATCTGTCATGCCATAGCAAGTTGCAAATCCAATTGTGATAGTTTTTCTTCAAATTCTAGTTTTTAAAGCTCTGGCACCCATTCTGCACCAACCAATTAGTATATCTGAATTCTAAGAATCTGGTGCATTCCTTATGAATGAAAGCTGTTTTCCCACTTTCATTGGGAAGTTATGGGGATTCTAGACCAAGTAAAGACTTCTGGAGAATGGCTTAGAGCTTGCCTAATTTCCTAGACATAGCCTGGTTTAGAAGAGAGTTAATCAAGAACTTACTCTGTCTCAGGGTCAGATGGGAGAAACCTACTCAGTGTTGCAGTTAACAGAGATTATAATTCTTTTACCTTTAAAAACTAAGGATAGTATCCTTAAACAGGAAAACCATAATGCAAATAGAATATATTTATTATATCAATACAGAATATAATTTTAATAAATATATGTTAATACAGAACAGCTAAGTACAACAAAAATTAGAGATTCTCATTGGTGCAAAATTAGGGTATTCTGAAAGCTATGGATTCTTTCAGACAATTATTATAGAAAATAAGTTGTAGGGGATTTGGATATACAATTTAGTTTCCAAAAGGACAAACAACTAGAAAAACTAGTTCTTGGAAGACTCTAACTTGATTTAAAAATAACAAATTATATTTTAACATGTAAAAGTAAATATTGTGTTACTTTGTCATATTTATTTTTGAAACACTCTAATTACCAAATAAGCACATTTAGGTAAGTGCTGAGATAGTAAAAATGGCTGATTAAGAGTATCTAATTCTGAACGTTAAGGAATTGTTTCTTTAACTAATTTTTGGTTTTACTATATTGCTTCAACATTGATTTAATTTTCAGTTATTTCTGAATAACCTTTTTTTTTTAATTTAGTATTTTATAGATTTAGGGTTGTTGGAGATAATACAAGGGTATTCTTACTTTACAAATGGAGAAACTGGGGCCAAGTTTATTAGTCTTACTAGTGACTGGGACCAAATTGCCAGGGTGAGTGTAGCATTCTCTCAGTACAACATCCCACTGTCATTCTGGCTGCATTATTAAGGAGGTAACTGCTTTGAGGCATCTTGTCATTGAATCCTGGCTTCTCTTTTTCTGGGAGTACATTGTGGAAATCAAGTGTGGGAGGGAAAGTCAGAGTGAAGATAATGCTGAATGAACAGAAGGATAAATTGAAAAAAAAATAGTGAAACATAGTGACTGTTTCTAATAGAAAGGAAAAAGTAATTGTTTAAAAGAGCACTGCCAAATAGTTTTGATTATACTTCTTTTAAATATATTTTTAATTGAAGTATAGTTGATTTACAATGTTGTGTCAATTTCTGGTGTGCAGTATAATGCTTCAGTCATATATGAGCATACATATATTTTCATATTCTTTTTCACCATAAGTTACTACAAGATAATTGAATATAGTTCCCTGTGCTATACAGTATGAACTTGTTTATCTATTTTATATATAGTAGTATCTGCAAATCTTGAACTCCCAACTTATCCCTCCACCCACACCCCAACCATAAGCTTGTTTTCTATGTCTGTGAATCTCTGTCTATTTTGTAAGTAAGGTCGTGTGTCTTTTTTCTGGATTCCACATATAAGTGATATCATATGGTATTTTTCTGGTTTGATAATCTTTTGTATTAGTTTGGTTTCTTTTTGGTTTTTGTGACTCTGTTGTATGCTTTTCATTTGTGGTTATCCTATGTTTCAAGTGCGTTAATGCCTTACTATATCTGTTTGCTTTAGACTGATAGTCTTGTAGGCTCAAACACATCCTAAAAAGAATGAAGGGAAAGAAAAAAAGAGAGAGAAATCTATATTTTCTTGCTCCTCTCTCCCACCTTTTATGATTTTGATGATTTTGATTTTTTTAAAAACATCTTCATGTTTATCCTCTTGCAACTCATTATAGTTATCACATTTCCAGTTACAGTTTTCTCATTTCTATAGCTTCCTGGTGCTTTTCTATTTAGAGTAGACATTTCAATATTTCTTTTAGGATAGATTTAGTGTTGCTGAACTCTTAGATTTTCCTCGTCTGTGAAATTCTTGATCTCTCCTCCCACTCTAAAGGATAGTCTTGCCAGATAGAGTATTCTAGGTTGCAGCCTTTTCTCATTTGGACTTTGAATAGATCTTGCCACTCCTTCTGGCCTGCAGTGTTTGTGAAGAGAAATCAGCTGAAAGCCTTGTGGGGGTTCCCCTGTACCTCTTTGTTTTTCTCTTGCTGTCATTAAAATCATTTCTTTATCTCTAACTTTGGCCATCTGAATTACAATATGTCTTGGTATAGGTCTATTTAGATTCTTCTTGTTTGGGAGCCTCTGTGCTTCCTATACTTGGAAATCTGTTTCCTTCTTTAAGTTTGGAAAGTTTTCAGTAATGATTTCTTTGAGTACCTTTTCAATCCCCTTTTCTTTTTCTTCTTCTGGGACCCCTATTATGTGTAGGTTGGCACATTTTATATTATCCCATAGGTCCCTTATATTGCTCTCATTGGCTTTTACTTGCTTTTCTATCTGCTGTTCTGACTGGGTGACTTCTGTTATCCTGTCTTCTAAGTCACTTATTCATTCCTCTGCATTATCTAGTCTGCTTTTGGTTGCCTTTAGCTCAGCTCTTATCCCAGCCATTGAGTTTTCTGTTCTTGATTGGCTCCTCTTTATAATTTCTATTTCCTTTTTTTTAGTATTCTGTCTCTCTTATTTCCTTCAGTGCTTCTATCACCCCCTTTTTGAAGTCATGATCTATAGGCTGTCAAGGTCTATCTCATTGTTCATTCTTTCAGGGGACTTCTCTTGTTCCTTTAATTGGGAGTGGTTCCTGTGCTTCTTTATTTTACTTACATTTCTTGGGCTGTATGGATTTAGGAGTATCAGTTTTCTACTGTGTTCTTGAAGGGCTGTTTTATTTTTTGCTTGTGTTTATTTAAAGTGGGAGTGTTCCTGTGTAGCTGGTGTGTGTCTAGTAGTTTTGTTGCAAGGGCTGTTCTTAGAATGGATGGTTGCCATGTCTGTCTGCTGTGTGTGTTGGCTGTTACCCCTTTGATTGGGGCTGCGGTTGGTGTGGTGATCAGAGCCTGCCCTGATGGTTGTTGTTGAGCGGGGCCTCCTTTTTTGTTCTGTAGTTGTTACAGCCTTGACGGGGGCTTGGGTCTGCTCCCGTTGCTAGAATAGAGGCTTCTAGACCCGTTTCTGAGCCACGGAGTGTGGTAGGCAGGTTGGATCACTTCAGCTGGGAAGCAGAGTTGCTGAATATACCTCTGAGATGTCCACTGGGTGATGCCCTCTGTGGTGATGTCTGTCACGTGTTATGTGGGCTTAGAAAGTACTCTTTGTTGATGCTGCCTTTGTCCCTGCCTTAGCTGTGGGCATGTAGGCTGCCCACGCTGGTGTCCCTCAGGTTCTGGGCCCCAGGAACCACCAGCACAGATCTACCAATGTCAGGTGCTGGGACCCACTGTAGGGAGCAGGAACACACGTGAATCTGTGGTGTGCCACAGGGTCAGCTCAGACCCCAGGCCTGCCTCCGAGTACCATATGGTATGCTGGCCTGCTGTAAATAACTGTGCTTGTGCCCGCTATGCACCAAAACTCCACTCACTGCCTGTTCTTCCCAGAGGTGCAGATCCACAAAGGGTCCAGAAAGAGCAAATCTACTCTCTCTGCCTGGAGCTGTAAACAAATCTCAGTCCTGCCTGTGAAGTTGCAGGGCCACTGGGTGTGGATTCAGCTTTCATTTCCACCTCCATGCAGCAGCAACAGCTATGACCGAGCCCCACTGCTCTTCTCTTGAGAACATACTGACATTGGAGCCAAGCAGAGACAGGGGCTATAGCACGGCTGTGTTGTGCCCCTTCCCCCCAAGCACACCAGCAGTGGTGCTTTTTTATGGGTTTTCTAGGCTGTTCTGTTCCACCCATACCCCAAGCCAGAGCTCACACCTCCCTCTAGTCCCCAGAGGCTGCCTCTGTGTAGTGGGCCCCAGCCCTCTCTCTGGGCTCATGCAGATCTCCAGCAGCCAGTCCTGGCCTGTCCCTGCCAGCTCACGTCTAGAGCTGGGGATCACAGGGAGCCTCTGTGCCAGTTTTTCTTAGTTCTTCTGCCAAGTGCTGCCACATTTTCCTCTGAGCCTCGGAAGCTCTGCTTCCATCCCTCTTGACCTCTTGGCTGGAGAGTGGGCCCCTCAGCATGAAGGTGCCTTTCTTCCTTTGCTGCTCCCTCCGTGCATGACTGTACCTGCACTGATTTTTTTCTTTTTTCTCCTCCCCCTCCTTTTTTTTCTTACCGAATTTTGTTAGAATCCTCCTGGTTTCAAAGTGAGAGATACTCTGCCAGAGTTCAGTAGGTGTTCCGTGCGATTCAGT